AAATGCCCTTGATCTGTTAAACATAATTTGGGAAATATTTAAAAGAGAACAAAAAAATAAATAAATCAAAAGGGGGCTAATAATTTTGACTTCAACTATATATATATATATATATATATATATATATATATATATATATATATATTTTTTTTTTTTTTTTTTTTTTTACAACACTGCCTCACTTTTACTAGAACAATGCAGTTCTGTTGCATTACCAGTATCATTTGTTCAGAATGTGTTTCTTTATCTATTTGTCCACATTGACCTGCACTTTGTACTCCAAATTTAGTTCATTTCTAAAATCTCCAAAAACGTTTTTAATTTTTTAAATATCAATTTTATTTTAAGAAAACGTTTAAGTTTTTCTTTTATACATTTTTATTCAATCAGATAACATTTTAAGCTGTTATATGGTCATTTTATAATGTACGCTTTAGATGTTATACAGTGTGGCCCACCTAGAGGGATGTTTGCATTTCAACTCAGCTCATTTGTGAATAAAAAAAATGTAAAAACAAACAAACAAATAAATGTTTATATATTACACTGTGAAAAAAAGTAAAAAAACGTGTACCAATATGTTTAATTTCACATTTCACTGCAGCCAACAAAATTTGAAAAATTTGTCATAATGAACCATTTTCAACTTGCTGTCTATATCTGAGATAAGCTTACCTGTGTTTTTTAGACATTTAAAGACTAGAAGAGAGAGCAGAATCAGCACACTGACAGTAACAGCACAAAATACGATGATCACCATCTTCAGACCACTGTCCTCTGTGTCTACAGTACAAACATGATGATAATTACACCAAAATTGACCAGTGTCATTTTTACACAGCAACAAACCACTGTATTAGTGTCTCACATTTAACATTTAGATAATCAAATGTTGAAAATATTCTTAGAAGTTGAAAAATGCTGTATATTAATGTTTTACCTTGGTTTGTTGCAGTTACGTTATCTGTTGATCTTTGGTTTGATACAGTTATGATTTTTGTTGATATTGTTGGAGCATTGGTAATTTCTGAGGTAAAGTTGAGTATTACAGGCGCCAGGGCTCTGAGCTGATTCTCTGTAAAAACTGCACACTGCCAGTGCAGCGGCTCTGTTTTAAAGCTGGACAGATTCACTCTGAGTTGTAACTTGTTGTTTTTCTCAGTTATCCTGTTCTGTTTTTCCAGCACTCCTCGTTTTCTCTCCATCCTGAGCCAAACCAGCGTCACGGATTCAGTCACTTCAGAAAGCTCACAAGTGAGAAGCACAGACTGACTCCTCAACACACCACCAGGGGGCTCTACTGACACTGCACATAAAACAACGAGAGAAAGTAAAGTGTAGAATGCTTGATGAGGTCATTCAATCATTTTCTTGTCGGCTTAGTGCCTTTTTTAATCAGGGGTCGCCGCAGTGGAATGAACCGCCAACTTATCCAGCAAGTTTTTACGCAGCGGATGCCCTTCCAGCCGCAACCCATCTCTAGGAAACATCCACACACACACTCATACAAAACTGGAAACCGGAGCACCCGGAGGAAACCCACGCGAATGCAGGGAGAACATGCAAACTCCACACAGAAACACCAACTGAGCCGAGGTTCGAACCAGCGACCCAGCGACCTTCTTGCTGTGAGGCGACAGCACTACCTACTGCGCGACTGCCTCGCCCGCTTGATGAGGTGATTTCTTTTAATGGGAATAACAATTTTTTTTTTAACTATAAAAATAAACATTTGTTAAATCATTTAAATGTGCAGTATACAATGAATGTTCTTTCATTCCTGTTAGGCTCATTCCTTGTATTATCATGTGCTATCTCTTCAAATTTAAACTGTATTCCTTTTACGATCTCAATTAAAAATGTTGACAAAAACATATATACCTCTGATGGTGTGTAGTATTGTGGTTGTGTAGATGGTAGTTTCTGTAATGCACCTGTACGTGCCACTATAGTTGTAGAGGACAGGTGAGATGTGAAAGGTAAAAGCTTGACTGTTGTATGTGGTTGAAGAAAATCTTCCTGGTTTAATTGGTCCTTTAACTTCAACTTTTCCTCCTTTTTTAACAGTTATTAGATCAATCTGTGAATTAGGTCTCTTCTCCCACGTCCACCTCCAGCTGTCATAGTTATTGTTGTTAGTCTTGCAGATCAGTGATACATCACGTTTGCTGGAGCTTTCTCTATAAATAGATTTATTTGTCTTAACGTTTCCATTATATGAATCTGTAAAGAAAATAAGCAACTTGGTCAATTTTTGTACATAAATATTTGTTATTATTTTAATAATATAAAATATTATTTAATAATATATTATTTAAATAATATACTTAATAATACAATATATTTAATAATAATATTAAATAATATTATTCAAATAAATTACAGAATTTTTATGGAAAATATGGGAGTGGAAACACAAAAACATGAAAGAATATTATTATTTAGTCATACTACAAAAAAGAATATTTACGTGTTTTGACAGTAAGCGTGTGATTTGTAATAGTTTGTATTTTTCCATCTTTATTCAGTCGGCAGTAATATTCGCCTGTATTGTGTTCATCTGCTGTGTGTAAGATGATGTAGGCAGAGTTGTTGTATATCAGAGTCGTGTTGGATGTTGGTTTTCCTTCTTTTGTCCACTGCAGTGTTGAGAATTCAGACAGAAGAGAGACATCACAGCGCAAACACACATCAGAGCCAGGAGAGACTTTAGAGAAATGAAATAAAACCAACAATGAGAAATTGTATAAAACTTTATTACATTTAAAATAATGAAAAGTGATATTATTGTTTTTATTATTTTATCAGAACACTTTGAACTGATGTAAATTCTTTATATGAAAAACAATTAGTTTTAACAGTTCAACATCAAACCTTGCTGAACAAAATCCAAACACACCAAGTAAATTAGCTGAGGACTTTGCACAAATACATTTTGTATTTATCAGCCTTTCTAAGCATTAGGATAAACAGACACATGCATGCGCGCGCACACACACAAACACACATACACACAAATATATATTTTTTGTTTTATAAATAGATACAATATTACAGTAGAAAGAAAAAACTTAATCAACCTTCATCTTTGGTCTTGACTGCTTGCCTTGGTAGATACACTGTATTGGTTAAAAAAAACTATTAGAAAGTACAGTATATTGAATTATTACAGCAACTGACTGATGAAAGATTAAAATTGTTATTTTGGTGGTTGGTTTGGATTAATCAGTGACATTTACAGTACTGGCATGATTGTTGTTTCCATATAAAATGTTCATTTAAAAATAAATATTGCAGTAATCTGGCTAGATTTATGTACAGCAAATCAAAAATCTAATTAAAGCACGGAGCATTGTTAAAGTTAAATGTTCTGGTTTAGATAACTCAGATTTTCCTGTAGCTAACCATACCTCAGTTTACAGACAGAATACACCCACTAATCAGTAAAATAATACAAAATTAAGAAAATAAATATTGTTTATTTAGAATCTGGTTAGTAACACTCACCTAGTTGAGAGCTGTAACAAAATCCACTTAAAAACATTAATATCAAAATTGTGAAGTACATGGTGTTTTCTGTCTTTTTTAGAAAGAGGAAGTGCAGAGAAAGAGGAAGTAAAAAATATATTTTCCTTTCTTCTTTTTTTAAAAAGATGGACACAAGTGTGTTAGCTTTTCTTGCAAAGAGGAAACGTGTTTTGAAACAATGATGTGCAAATTTACAATTATATAATTTTTGAATGACTGCATCTACTGAAATATCTATTTATTACAAGTATATACTGTAATGTTTTTAAAAGGGATTAAGCCGAAAAGGAAATGAATGAATAAATGAATGCTTTTAATAATCAAGACAGATGTTAAACACAACATACAGTACTGACATTGTAGACTATTTGCTTAAGATAAGGTATTTATCAGCAGCATCATTTTATATTTGAAAACAGATTAACTGAAAATGGCACATAAAACATTTCACATAGCAAAGTTAAACTTAGATTAAGTAAGATCACAGTTATGTTTGTGTCTTTTAAATGTCTCATTGTGTTTTTTCTTCACACTTGCAGGGCTAGAATTGCTTAGGGCTCCCAAATCACTAAATCCGCCCCTGTATGTACGGATTAAATGCATTTATCTATTTTAATTTATTCATTCATGTATATAGACTTTTTTTATCATATGGAAGTTGTTTGGTCGATTTATTTTTTTTAACATTGTACGAATGTATGATTCCTGGGGATTAATTTGGATCTATTTTGTGTTATAAAGGGCTAAAAATGTGTAAATACTGCCCTCTGCTGGCTATGTTTCAACAAGAAAAAAGTATGTTTTATTGCGCGACCTACTTGAAAAAAAAAAAAAAACGTTTTAACATTTTTTTACAACATATTATACTCAAGTGCATGAAGGTATTTTCATTCTGAACAAACGGTTTGTTTTATATTTGTTTTATTTCACCATCATAAAAAACACATGTAACGTTAGCGTAAAAAAACAAGTAGCTTCCCACTTTAATTTCACAAACAGTGAATGAAAATAAAAACGTCAAACGAGACTATTTAAACTGAATTATGGTAGTAAAAAAAGTAAAATAATATGCAATAAAAAAAACGTTTTGAACTCTCGCGACAACTCGTGAATGACACTGGGAAAAGTAAACATAAAATATGGCGACTTCCGTAACTGCAAATCTTATTACAGTTCATATTTTGTTGTTTAATAACTTTGCCCAGTGGATGCCCGAGTCTCTTCAGAGAGCAGCGTTGATGAAGTGACATACGTCTGTCTGTAAACGGACAAATCTAAAGAAACGATTCGCATGAACATTAACTACAACGTAAATGAATCGACTCTTGAAACGCCTACTGTATTGTTATACTGCACGACAGAAGTAGTAGTAGTATGGGGTAGTACTGTAGTATGCTATTCAGAATAGCTTAAGCCACCTACCCACGTCATTCTCGATTATGACCAAAACCATGACTTAGCAGTCGTTTTGTTCCCACCCATTTGACATGAACTCGTATTCGTGTTTCGCCTCTTCAGTATCCAGTAATAATTAACTCTGCAGAAGTGCAGAATTAACTTTACTCTGAATGTTCGTCTAAAGACTTGCCGTTAAAGAAAAATGACTGAACGAATGTTTGAAGAGAAACAACATGCCTCCCTCTATCAACAATATCGATTCGCACCACCGGATGAGCTGAAGGAGCTTATTCTTCAGTATCTGGACAAAAAGGTAAGATCAGCCGCGAGGTTTTGTTCGAGGTTTTGTGTGCACGACAGCTGAATCAGTACGTTTATTAAGGCCCTTCCAAAATATGAATCGCCTACATTATATAGTTAAATAATCTACATGTTATGCATCTTGGTAAAATAATAGGGCTAAACTTAATTTACATTAATAATTATAATAATTCTTGTGCTTTTGATAATAAACATTCTTCGACCCATCCTAACGATGACATTAATTTAATAATTAACGTTAATTATTACAATTTTAAAGTTGCTTTAATTCTTGAAAAGAATGTGGTGTTTTTTTTTTTTTTTTGAAGGGATAGTTCATCTTAAAATAAAAAAATTGACTTAAGTGCCCTCAAGCAAAGATTTATAGTTTTGCATATTTTAAATAGTTATTTATTATTATTATTATTTTTTTTTTGCTGTACATTTTCGCTTCATTAATGTTTTTTTTTTCTTACAGTCGTTTTCATTTCAGTAATTCTAGTTTAACAGAATTAAACTAGAGTTAACGGAACATTTTTACTTAAGTAATTTACATTTGATCTTTTAAATTGTCTCAAATATAATATTCATTGATTAAAACAATTTTCACAGAAAGGAAAGCCCCATCAGCTGGCTGTGGATTTAGGCTGCGGGACAGGGCAAACCTCTCGCCCTCTGACACCATACTTTCAGCAGGTGGTGGGCATTGATGTCAGTGAATCACAGGTGGAGGAGGCGAGAGCAGTGCAGGGCTTCCCTAATCTCACCTACAGGTCAGTAGTGCATGCTTCTACTCTTAAATAAATACAATTTAGTAGCCCTTGATATTTGGTAAAGGTAATTTACGTTAGTTGATTATAGATTAAAATACAAAAAGAATGCCTTTGCAACGATACGCTGTTGAACATCTAACTGTTGCCCATGCTAAAAAAATGAATCAACAAAAAATGACAGTGGTATGAAAACAACAAATAAGAAAGCATTTGATCATAGTTATTCGGAAATGTTTGCACAAGCTCTGCAATTCACCAACATCATGTGTAAACAATATTATTTTTATTTTAATTATAGTCTTCTGTTACAGTAGTTTAATTATCAAGGTACATACAGTCTTTGACACTGAGTAGTTTTCAAAACTCCTTGGTGTTTTTAGCACCATGTGTTGTTGTTTATGCATAGCTGAAGGAATGCTTATGTAAAGCTTATGAAATAGCATACTTTAATACTTATCTTGAAAATAGAAAACAAAATGTGATTGTGTATTATAGTGCGAACAGATTACTCTTGTCTACTCACTATTATATTTATTAATGGACAGAGTAGGCACAGCAGAGGAGCTTCCCTTCCCAGATGCTTCAGTGGATCTGCTGACAGCTGCGTCTGCTGCTCATTGGTTTGATGCTGAACGTTTCGTCAAGGAGGCCCAGCGTGTCCTGAAACCTCATGGATGCTTGGCTCTCTTTGGCTATAATGACAGTATGAAAATACACCATGAGTCCTGTGGAGATCAACTTAATATCATATATGAGGAAGTATGTATATGTAGATATATATAAATTAAATAAAAATATATACATGAACATGTTTAATAATGATTAAAAAATAAAACTGTTTAATATGTGAATACAAAACCTTCATATTACTGAATGCATGTCTATCTGATATGTGCTCAGAGTGGTTATAACTGCTATCTCACATTAATTTATTCTAATAGCTGAAGCAAGAACTTCAGCCCTACACAAGCACTAAGGTAACTGGGGCTAGTACTAAGCTAAAGGACCTGTTTGAAGTCATACCCTTTCCAGATAAAGAGAGGTAAACCAGTGCACAACACACTTGGTGAATAATTAATTTGGTGTCAATAAGCCTGTACAGAAATATGCTTGTCACATTTAATTTTCTATAGATTTATTTGAGTATGTGTTGTATTTAATCATTAACAAATTACATTTCACACATTTTGTTTTAACCCTTTAAGTTGCTGTCCAACAGACAGCTCCTATTCTATTGCTTATTTATTTATTCTTGGTCTAAACCTGAATTTATCTTAACAAACTACATATCACCTGCATCTATCAAATCTCATTTTCAAGTCTGGAGACAAAAAGTGGGTTGACCATTAAATAATCTTTGATAAAAAATGAGTCTAATATTTTTAATTATATTCTATTGTGTCATTTAAGGATTGAAACTATTCCCATAAAGGAACAGCTGAGCGTCAAGAACATACTTGGCTTTTTTCAGACGTTTTCCATGTACCAAGCATATCTAAGAGCCAATCCAAAGGCTGCAACTGCACTGTTGGAGAAAACAGCATCACGGTAATTACATTTTCTTTTACTGGCATGCAACAGTGGTGGATTGGAACAAAAATATATATAACAAGTGTCTTCTTGAGAAGACGTTGGGTTAGGATCATGTGTATATTATACACAATATTGATCTGTTTATGACTTACTCTGTTTCAGAATTCTGGAAGAGATAAAAGCAACTTCAACAGATGCTAAAGTTGACTTTATGTGGGAGTATTACTGTGTGCTTGCATGTAAACCTGAGTGATACATGATTCAAATCACATGATACACCTCTCTTTTACTGTAATTACAGGTGTTCAGCCACTGTGGTTAAGAATGTTTAATTTTGCTTTGTTAATCAAGTTAGCAAATTTGTGAGTGAACAAAGCCTGTATTTTTCATGATTTCACATTAAAAATTCAGATTACAACCACTGAGTATTTGCACTATCCTAATGTTCATTCAAAATCATTTACTGTACAGAATACTTACATTAATTGTAATGTAGGCTAAACAATAAAATCTGTTTTTCTTATTTTCTTCTGGTTGTGTTGTTTGTTCATATGAAGTTTTATAATTGTTCCTACACAAATGTTTACTCCTTCTACACAACCTGACAAAGGTTATTGTCGCCTATCCAAGTTTTAGGAACAACAAAAAAAACTTAACTTCTGGTTGATCATTTGGTATCAGAAGCTTATATGAAAGGCAAAAACCTCTATATTGTGCTTATTTTAACTAAATAAAATTTGATCATGGCTTGATTTTTAATTATTTAATTAAGAGAGTAAGGTCTGACTTTGCTTAGACAAAAGTCTTGTCACTTAACATAAAGGATGTACAGTATAGAACATAAAGTCATGGTGCAGTGAAAAAAGAATTAATATTGTGTATGACTCACATGAGCTTGGATGACTGCATCCATACATCTCTGCAATGACTCAATTAACTTATTAATTAGAGTCTTCTGAAATGGCTAAGAAAGCGTTCTTGCAGGACTCCAGAGTTCATCAAGATTCTTTAGATTCATCTTCAATGCCTCCTCCATCTTACCCCAGACATGCTTGATAATATTCAACTCTGGTGACTGTGCTGGCCAACCCTGGAGCACCCTGACCTTCTTTGCTTTCAGGAACTTTAATGTGGGGGCTGAAATATAAGAATGTGTGCTATCTTTCTCAGGAATTTGCCCTCTCCTGTGGTTTGTAATGTAATAGGCAACACAAATGTCTTGATATCTCAGGCTGTTGATGTTGCCATCCAGTCTGCAGATCTCTTGCACACCCCTATACTGAATGTAACACCAAACCATTTTTCCTTCAAACTTGACTGATTTCTGTGAGCATCTTGGGTCCATGCGGGTTCCAGTAGGTCTTTTGCAGTATTTGAACTGATGATTGGAACACAGTTCAAACAATTTGTTGGAAAAATCTACCTTCCACTTTTCCAAATGATCAAATAGAAGTCAAGTTATTATTTGTTGCTCTTACAACTGGGATCGACGACAAGACTTTTGTCAGGTTGTATAGGCTTTGTTAAAATGTGAATAAATACCTCATATCTATTTCTACAAAATTTAACATGATCAAACATTCAAATATGACTTTTTTATTACTGTTATATAAAAAAATGATTTATGTGTGAACATTGTACACAGATTTTGAATGCGTTAAGCAATATTAACATATCTGTTGTTTTTAAATTCTTATTTGTTGTTTTCTTAGCCTGCCTACTTTACTTTCACAGGAGATCTAACAATTAAAACTAAATGTAGGTGGCTATCAAAATGATTTTGGGGTAACCTGAGTATAAAGAACAAAAAAAAAAAATTCATTCGCTCATATCAATGTGAAAATTTTACTTTATCCTCCCAGCAGGCATCTGGTTTGCATGGAAACCTTTAATCTTTTTCCAGTTATTTCTCGGGAGAAGTTGATTAAATCTGAAAGGACTTTTACTCTTGTCCTCCACTGTGAATATGAGGGGAAAAGTGGGTGTATGTGGGTGTATGTGAGGCACAAGTCCTCATTAGCAAACTGAGCATGTTACTTTTGCCTCAAAGGAATGTTTTAAAAAGCTTTGCACAAATGTCTCTCAATGAGGAAAAAAATAAGCAAAGCCTAAAACTTGAAATGGCTCCTCCCCTCGTGTCCTACTTTCCTTGTCCTTTTGTGTGCTGACAGCTCAGTTCCCTTCAGTTTTCTCACTCAAAGGAGACTGTACATCTGTCCAAAATGGCTGTGCGATTATTTGAAGGCAAAGAACATGCAAACTCATACTGGAAGTATCGCATTTCACCCTCAGAAGAGCTCATTGGCAAAGTTCTGCAATTTCACAGGAATAATGTAAGATTTTTGTAATGACTGTTTTTTCATTAATTTATGATCCATTCAATGTTATTTAGCTTACATTTGAAGCACTGCTTTATCTTCTTCTTCTTTATCTCCAGGAATATTCATCTAATGGCCTGGCAGTAGATGTTGGCTGCGGGTCAGGACAGGGAACGTTGCTCTTGGCACCACATTTTACACGTGTGGTTGGGACAGATATTAGTCCAGCTCAGCTGGAAATGGGAAGGAAACATGTTAACATTCCAAACGTTTCTTTCAGGTATGCAAACATGAAGTAGTTGATTATTGCTGTAATCTCTTGTTGCCGTTTACTGCCAGACGTCCAAAGGAAAACCAAAATAGTGCGATCGCCCCCTGGTGCTTGGCTACAGTAAATGTCGTGAACTCTGACCTCATAAATTGGAACATGAGCCCAAAGATTAAATGTACATATTTCACATCTATCTTATACCGACATAAGTTTGCCTTAGTTTTAATTATGCTCTTTAATATTGCTCCAGTTTATGAACATTATTTTTCATTTTCTTTATAATGTACTGTGGTTGTATATTTTCACTTTTCACATAATAATAATGATAAAAAAAACTTACCTTAGTAAAGCAAAAGTAAGCAGATTGTAGTCTATATGATTTACCTTATTAGTCAGACCATACATGGTCATTTTCACAAAAAACTTTTCTTTTAAACAATTTGGCTACAGCTTGACTAAAGGAGTGACGAGTGTTAATCTGAGACTCATAAACTACGTTCATGGTCTGTTCATGATGGATTATGTACCATGTTTTTGTAAAAATAGATCTTACCTATTTTTATCCCTGCTAATGTATCATATCAAGTAGACAAATTAATTTGAAATTGTTGTTGTTTATTTAAATGCATTTCATTCATTTATTCTTTTAGCAGATATAGACTATTTTTATAAAATATTTATTTAACCAATATGCATGTCCAGCCTCCAGCGTGTATTTCATCAAGTTCAAATGTTTCATATTTTACTCAAAAATATTCACATTTTTGCATATTTTATGTATGCAACTTTTCAGGTAGTTTGTATTTGTACATTTTTATGTAGGTTGTATATGCATTTTATTTTAAATCATTTGAATATTTATGTAACAAAACATTAAAATAATAGTTGTAATGTATATGTAGTTATATTTATTTATGTGTTGCTTGAATCTTTTATTTTAAAAAAAATATTTATTTACAGCAATAAGAGTAATTTTATCAAACAACTCTGGCACTTTTAGTCAAAAGTTAACATTAGATGTCTTAACAATTGCAACATAGAAATATTTAAGTTGTTGTATTTATTTATTTAGTGGTAATATATTTATTTAATGCATGACGATAGTGCTGGTTTGTTTAAGTTAGTTTCACCTATATACTATGCATGCTACTGTTTTCACTTATTTGACTCAAAGGGAGAGTCCAGCTGAAGAACTGCCCTTTGAAGATGGCTCTGTAGATCTTGTGACGGCCATGTCTGCGTTCCACTGGTTTGACCATTCACGTTTTCTTCAGGAGGCCGACAGAGTGCTCAAACCTCATGGCTGCCTCGCACTTCTCAACTACACACTGGACATGGAGCTAACTTATGGAAACTGTTCAGAAGCATTAAACCTCATTTGTAATGAGGTGAGAGTCATATATTTCTCACAATGATTGCCAACTGTCTGAACATTTGTCTGTGCAACAATGAGAACGTTTTGAAATCATCTTATATAGCTCACATGACCTGTACTTTATGAGCGACTGAAATGTTATCTAATCTTTTATTAGATTATACTAATTAATCATTTGCTCAACAAGCATTTTATAAGACACATAGTTCAAAGATCACAATAACATTTTATGCATGCAGGTGTTTCTAGCTTCATGAAGCATATAATAATTTACCTGGACTCTCAACACAGTAATAACCAATTCAGTATGAGTCAGTGCTTTCAAAATGAAGAACAAAACATGCTGTCTGAGCTACGGATTTATTCTGGTGCCTTGAATCATTGTCATGCTTTGTGACTCATGGGTGCCCTAATGTGCATCTCCTGCTTCAACCTGCAATTCACTTGTAAGAAAAAAACAGTGATCCATGCTACATGCTGTACTGTATATGATTCACCGTGTACTTATGTTATATTTGTCACATTGCAGTTTTATGCAGCTCTGCATCCTTTACGGGATCCTCATCTGGGTCCCAGCTCTTTTGAACTGTACAAAAGAACATATGACTCTCTGCAGTACCCAGTCAAAGAATGGTAATGTATTATAACAACATATTAACTTTGCAGTTAGTTGGTGAAGATGGTTTAAAGTGCAGTTAGGTTTGTTAAACTATAAAGTAGAAGCAGTGTTGTGATGTTATGATATTTAAAAGGTTGCTTGTTGGACCTTTAGTGTCTTATTTGCTTTATCAAATGGATGTCACAAAATAAAAATATTACAGATGAAATGTTTTTCATTTAAATATAATGAAGCCAAAAAAATATATATGTTAGATTAGTTGTAGACTGTTAGAAAAGTAAAATTAAGTGTCGTCGAACATTAAGCAGATAGTCTCCCGACAATCAAATGACAGTTAGTTGACATGGAGTTGACATGGATGATCTAAAGAGGACCATCAAAAGTGCTACCAAAATTTCAGTGCTGTTACTTCACTGTGAATAATAATATGGCTGGAATGTTTTAACAAAAAGTTGAAGCTAGACTTAAACAATTCTTGTCTACAGGCATGATATGTTTGGGGTGAAGAAGGCAGTCCCTCTCTCTGGCTACATTGGCATGGTGAAGTCTTTCTCCACATTTCAGACACTCCTAAAAAAAGATCCAGAAGAGGCCAGACGGCTCTCGCAGGACATTGAAGATAGGTATTAGAGTCTTTCCACAGCTCTTTATTTTTTGGTTTCTGTAATATATTATATAAGTGTTTTACACAATCTCTCTCTCTTTTATTTCCTCAAACTGTCTTTTTCCTGTAAAGACTGAAGCGTGCGATGGACGTGACATCCTCAGAGACAGAAGTTATCATGGGAGTTAAATACTTTTATTTTCTGGCACAAAAGCCTGCAAATGATTGATGCCTCATTTACTGTAGATGAACAGACCTTAGTATTAATCATACATTAATTCCTGATGTGATTGACTCACTAATTTCCATAACATTACGTTTTGTAACCTTCAAATTAAAGCAATAAATTATCTTCAGCAAGTACTGCAATTGTTTTGTTATGGTAGCATCTGTAAAAAAAAATGTAATCTTGTGTGTTACGACTAACTGTTTATTCTTCGCACACACCACACATTGAATTCTAATCATCATCTTTGAAAATTCACATTCACAACACATTCTTTATAGGTTTATAATTGTAGTTTTAGTTTTATTAAAAAGCTAGATTTTAAAATTGATTTTGAATGAATCAATAGACCCAGATAAAATGGTCCTTGTCACTACCCTTAAGCAATCATTTGAAATCGTTTTGTATTTAAAGGATCATCCAGCAGGGTGCAGTGTTGTCTTGGTCATGGAGCTGAGTGTGAGAATGAATATAGGCATGTCTGCGGCTGAAAATTAACGAAATTTGCTTATTTTGTTTATTAAATTACCTTATAGGCTACTTAATACATTTTGTTTAATTGATTTATAAGCCTACCTCTCACATTAATTAAAAATTTGTAATAATTTGCCCAATAATTTGCCCAATAGCCGCAGATGTAGACCCATCCCTGCTTCTGACATTACCCAACGTCGTTCATCGGTACTTCTGCTCACGGTGACGCCAACTACAATTCCACGGTGCAGTAATTAAACACAGTATCAATACACACACACACACACACACAAAGATGAAATAATTTATTTTTTATTACACTCCAAAATACGTCTCACAACTTTCCTGAAACATTTGATTAAACCACCTAACTCACAGCTAATTTTCTTGATATAGACAGGTATTTTGTGTTAAATAATGATTCTTGAGTCTGGTGAACCAGAATCTACAACACAGCGTCAACGTCTAGTGGTTTGTCATATTCTATGTCTCGGGAACTAGTTACAGGGATGCACAAATAGCCGGGTGAATGGATTACAGGATGTGTGTGTGTGCATGTGCGTGTGTTCATATCTCTTACCTAGAGAAGTAATTCACAGACCTATCACATGGCAGCACATGATACAGTGAATGTAAGAGAATATAGTGCCAATGCATGTGAGGAAGTTGAAAGGTTATACTGCACAGGTTAGTGAATGGATTCTTCTATTATACAAGCTCTACTCATTTACCAAATGTTCCCAATAAACAGCACACCACTTGTTACAAAACTGATTGAATGCACAACATTCTTGAATGCGTTATAGTAAATGGTAATTTGTGCTATTGGCTAAATATGGAGGCCTATTAACTTCAATATCAATATCTTTAAAAGGATGGTTCACCTTAAAAATCAAAACATGGAAGATATTGTTCACTCCTGGTGTTGTTCTAATGCTAAATGAACTTCTGTCTTGTTTGTATTCAGCACCCAAAATATAGTGAATAGCAACAAACTTTTAAACTCAAAAAGTATTGCAGATATTTTTACCACCTGTTTAGAGAGTATACGAATAAGGTTTGTTGTAAAACAAACTGAAATGTAATGCATTGTTTTACAAAACTTCCAACACTGACCTTTAGAGCCTTACACATTCACCCATAAACATCACATAGATTTGGGAAATCGAGATAAAAGAAGTGTGAAACTTAATATTCGTATAACCTACTTTCTTCTTTGAGGCAAATTTAACTTATCTTTCATCTTTTACTTTTGTCTGACATTGTTCCAATCTGGAGATATTCAAGAGAAGGAAATGCAACGATACTTTTTAAAGGGTTATATGGCATTGTGTTTCATGTTTTATAAATACTGATTTGGCAAAATGGTGCACTTGTGTGTTTTTCTGGAAAAGTTGGTGTGACCTATATGGCATTAATGGTTTAATACATATTAGTCCTCCAACATAATGTGTTCCACACCAGTCAACATTTTTGGTGCTGATAAAGTTTAGATGACTTGACAACTGAAATAACATAATTTAACTATCATTAGGTTTAAAAACTATTTTCTAGATTTTTCTAATTGTTTTTGTCTGTGGTATGTCAAAGTTTGTCCATACAGATTTGGTACTACAGTAAACCCGAAATGTTTTTCTAAAACACGTACAATTAATATACAAATACAATTAATTGAACATGTACACATAATGTAGACATCTCTTCTGTATAACTATAGGTTAAAATAACTAACTGTTAAAAGCTATTAGTTAGCCAGTTATTTAAAGTTATTAGTAAATAATAAAGTTATAACTTATAACCTTACGAATTTGATTGTAATGCAGTAATGTGCACCTTATACGTAAAGCTACTTTGAAACATAATGATTATTGTGAAAAGCACTATATAAATAAACTTGAATTGAATTAAAATCGGGGCATCTTGATCACCTCACCGAAAGAATGTTGCTTCTTTGAGCCTTGGCTGAATTAGTTGACATTTCTGTGTGGAGTTTGCATGTTCCCCTCGTGTTTGCGTGGGTTTCTTACGGGTTCTCCGGTTTCCCCCCAAGTCCAAAGACATGCGGTATAAGTGAGTTGGGTATGCTAAATTGTCTTTAGTGTACAGTATTTGTGTGAGGGCATCCGCTGCATAAAACGTGCTGGATAAATTGGCGGTTCATTCCGTTGTGGCGACCCCAGATTATAAGGGACTAAGCCGAAAAGAAAATGATAGAATGAATAAATTTAAAACTCTGGCTCTGTAAGAGGTCATTTTTCAACATACAAAGAAAAACAATTCTCAAATTCTGCCTTCACATGAGTCAAGTACAGAATATTAAAAATACTCTTGAAAGTTTTGCAAAATAAACACTTGATTGTTTTACACACATCCACCCACTTCAAGCTAAAGCATTCGTGAACACTGTGACAGTTTGCACACCACATTTTAATCCATTGCAAAATATTTTTTCTCCTGACTGAGCTGATGGGGCTGAGTTGTTGAGAGGGGTTGTGGTGAATCATCTGCCCCTTCACATTCACGGGGTCTGAGTCCTGGATTCACCTCCGCTGTAGCTCTCATATCGCTAAGACAATGGATTAATAACATCTTTGCAACACTAAAATTGCTATGAACAATTCTAAATATATAATTTTAAAAGGAAAAACAGACATTTATTATCCAAGAGCATTTGGCTCCATTTTAGTTATTGAACATGGCTTTTTAATATGGTGGGACTCAGTATGAAAAATTATGCTTGTCTCATAAGTGTTGCCTATAAAGCGCACATCTTTTAATAAAGCTAGTGCAACTATTTTGTTCAAATAAGCTCATTAGATTTAGATTTTAATGGTTTTTCAAATGGTTATACTTTTTTGAGCGAACAATTGTAGAACAAACTTTAAAGGTTTTGGCTGGGCCTTGATTTAACCCTGCAGGTTTTTTTTTTTTTTTTTTTTTTTTTTTTGCATTTTTTATTTATTTATTTATTTATTTGGCATTTTTTATAAAAACATCCTCACAACAATTAAAAAGAATATTTGAATTTAAAAAGAATGCATCTATTAATTCCTGGCTATTAAATATAAAGCAGTATTGGCCAATATATTTATATCTGTATATTCCTAGATTCATATTGTGGACAGGCAAAAATAAAAATCAATACATTTAAAGCTGTACATTTATTAGCATTTTACATATATTGTAAATCCATTCATCAGAATATGCTTAAAATGGCCTAATGATTAAGTGATTAATTAACTTCATACTGTGGGCTTATTTACTTGCATATGTAGTGTGCATCATAAATAAGACATATATTGAATTTGGTCTTACACATTAAGTCATAGATAAATACATTAAGGAACGAAGCCTTGCTGGAGGTCTTTAAATGTACAGTTAACATGACTCTATTTTTCTTAGTTTTAAAAGCATTTAAAAAGTACCTTTTTTTCCACTGAAAGAACCATTACAAGAGTTCACACTCAGCTGATGATTGATAATAAAGCTTGTTTGGCATGCTGTCCCAGAAGAGAGCGCTGAGATTAGAAGATCCTTGAGCCCTGGGCTCCCTCCCGTTAGCATTTGAGCTTATGTACCTCTTGTTGAACTCTCCTAATTAACTTTTGGCTAATGACAGATATAGGAATGGCTAAGGAGAGATATACTGCTTTCTAAGAGCTTGACTATGATGCCAATTTGGTATGTTCAGTTTACTTAGGTTACATGTTTTTTGAACTGTGGGAGAAATGAGCACTGGGAAAAAGAGCAAACTCAGAAATGTTGACTGGTATAGTAGGGACTGTAAATAGAGACATTCTTGCTGTGAGGCAACCGTGCTAATCACTGGGCCACCTTGTCACACATCTATAAAGGAGGGGAAGATTAAGATGAAGATATTGAGATAAGAAACTCTGGTTATTTAGTGAGTTAGGAATCAACTGATTGGTGAATCAATTGTACGCTAATGCAGGACCAGCCGTGGACAATCATAATCACATGATCCTCGTAAAATTACTTTATAAATAAACTTCACTTGTGGAATGAAAATGTTGCAATTAAATACTTGCAGCCACATATGCTAATTAAGTGCAGTCATGTGAATAAAAGACTATACTTGAAATTATCTTCTAAATTAGTAGTTCTAATTCCAAACTATGATAACTATAATAATTTCAAACTTGTATTATAATCAGTTTTGTTCTTGGAAAATGAAATAATATTGCAGAATGTACCAGACCCTTTCTTATTACACGAATTCAAACTTAAAAGGGAAACCAAGACTTTCAGGTTTCGAATTGAACAATTCAATTTTAGATTTTTCTTGCCCCAGTTAGTTCTTATGATAATACATGTAAAAATATACATGTCCATATTGTTTAGAAAGAACACTTATTGAGCTGATTTGCAAGAGAAAACAGTTTTACTGAGTGACTGGTTCAGAGTTTTGCCTCATCAGCCTCAGGACAAATGTGAAACTATTACATCAGTCACAACAAAGACAGCACATTATTTCTTACAAAAAAAAAATCTTTGTCCTGGGGATAAAGCATTTCAGAGTTACGATCTGTTCAGAAGTCATCTAAACATGTTTATTTATGAAGTACATCTAAAATAAATCTGATTGGCTGCAAGTTTTAAAACAGCTATGATGAAGCATGCATAATTAATTAGAGAATAGCAT